TGTTCGCTAATTTGTTCAGAGGCTTGTATGTATGTATTTATGTATGTATGTATGTATGTATGTATGTATGTATGTATGTATGTAAATGTGTAAATATGTATGTATGTGTATGCTTGTGCGCATGCATGCGTGTGTGGGTGCGTGCGTGTATGCATGCATGCACACATGCCTGTATGTATGTGTGCATGTAATATATGTATGTATGTATGTACGTACGTACGTACGTGTGTATGTATGTATGTATATGTGTATGCATGCATGCATGTATGTATGTATGTATGTCTGTCTGTCGGTATGTATGTATGTGTGTGTATGATTGTGCGCATGCATGCGTGTGTGGGTGCGTGCGTGCATGCATGCATGCATGCCTGTATGTATGTATGTATGTATGTATGTATGTGTGTATGTGTGTATGTGTGTATGTATGTATGTATGTATGTATGTATGTATGTATGTATGTATGTATGTATGTATGTATGTATGTGTGTATGTGTGTATGTGTGTATGTGTGTATGTGTATGTGTGTATGTATGTATGTACGTATGTACGTATGTACGTATGTATGTATCTATGTATCTATGTATATATGTATATAGGTATCTATGTATCTATGCCTGTCTGTCTGTCTGTCTGTCTGTCTGTATGTATGTATGTACGTGTACACACATGCATGCATGCATGTACGTATGGATGCACGTGCGTATGTATGTAGGCATGCAGGTGTACATGTGTGTGCACGCGTGCTCCTGATGTGCACATGTATGCACACACGGGTTCACGCACGCACACGCTTGAGCACTGCCTCCCTACACCTCTGTCCGCTCACGCACGCCTCCTGCAGCGAGGCGCGCCAATCGCCCGCCGCACCGCGCCGGAGCGCGCCCCTGGCTTGCGCGTACAGCGCACCTCGCGGCCGCCAGACGTTTCCTCTTGACAGTCCAGCACGGCCACAGCGGGCCCAGTGCGGTCGCAGGGTCGGAGGAGGGCAGACATAATCGAAGACCGAAAACAGAAAAGAAAAAAAAACAAAAAAAACAAAAAAAAAAAAAAAACAACGCCACCGATCCCTACCGATACCGCCACCGATCCCCTTGCTTGGGCCTCATCTGGAGTCTCCTGCGAGGCCGTCGTCGCCAAGGCCGGATGCTCTCCGAAAGTCTCGTCCGCATGCACCAGTTGTGTCCCTCACAATGGGGTCGTTGGGGGATCGCTCCTCCTCATCATCATCCTCGTCCCTCATCGCCCCTACTCATCCTCGTCGCTCCTCTTTCCTCTCCCCTCCTCCTGCTCCTGTTCTGACCCCGCTACCGCTCAGGTTTTGAGGACAACGGTGGGGAAGGTGATAAGGAGAAATGGAGGGGAGGACTCGGATGAGGAGGGAGGAAGATGAGGACAAGGAGACGAATGAGGGTGAAGAGGAGGGGTACGGAGAAGGAAGGAGGAGGAGGAAGAGGAATAAGCCTAGAAGAAGGAGAGGGATATATGAGGAGATGGAGAAGGAGAGAGGTGGACGAGCAGTGCAGCAACGACGAGGATGAGGTGGAGGTGGAGGAGGAGGGTATGATTTCCCTGTGGTCTCATCTCCCTGTGATCCCTGCCATCCCCATTCATCTCTCCTCCCGCTTTCCCTTCCTCTCGCTCATCAGTCGGGGCGTCGGACTGGAGCTCTCCTGCCTCGGAACGGGACTGGCGTTCCGCAACCGTCTCCCTTCGCCCCCCCCCGCCGCTCCCCCTCCCCTTTCCGCATTCTCTCGGCCTACAGTGGAGGCCCGACCACAAGAAACCTTCCACAAGAAACTTAACCCCTGATACCCAAGGACGTCCATGATTTTTTCGTATGGAAACGTCACGCTTTCCATGGCAAAACCATCGAAACCAAAGAAATCCAGGGCACCCTGGAGGCAAGCAGGGTGTTTCTTGGCATGGGTCTCCACTGCAAACCTAAATTGTGGAGAAACTATGGCTGGTAACTTGAATAATATTCGTGCTACACTTGCGTTAGCATTTAGAAACCTCTCCCTGCGTCGGGGCAGCACTTGCTCGCCAGTCTCCGGGGAAGATGGCCCGGCGCTTCTCGGCCCCGATCCAGTTAGCTGGGGCGGCACATGCGCGCGAGGTCTACCCAGGTTTTTGCTGACAAATCAATCCGAGAGTTTTGGAGCGGCATGTTTTTATTGTGACCATCGGTCGTTGAAAGTAGCTGCGTTGGGATCCTCAGGTTCCTATCTGCTTTAGGCGCCTTCCTATTTCAAGGATCGAGTGGTTTTCTCTGTTCCTTGGTCTTCAGGGGGCGGGCGGAGGTCCAATATACTTCCAACGCAGTCTTCCTTCGTGTTTCCGTCCACCTATTACGCTCAATTGTCAGCCTTGATTGTAGCAAGACGCTGGCCCAATTCCTCATCCTGTGCTGGACTGCATGCTGGCCGGCCCACAGTACAGTTTCCAGTCAGGCCAGCGGTCGCGTTCCTCCGGCTTTACAGGACGCCGCGGTTGCAATACACACGACGCCGCGGGGCGGCACAGCTCACGCAGGCAGGAGGAGGATGGCGAGAAGGAGAAGCAGACGCACGAGGGGGCGACGAGCCTCACAGCGGCGGCTGCGGCGGCGGCAAAGACGCCAATGGGCGAGGATGCGAAGTGGAAGGGCGAGAGTTACCAGCCTGGAACATTCCACGATCCCTGTGATTGGCATCGCCTCATCTCGATGCGGAATCTTGAGGATTCCTTCTGCGTCTGATGGCGCATCCCTGAGATTGTCACTGCCTTTTCGGTCGCCAGTCTTAGGGATAAGGATAAGCTCGAGGCTGGTTGGAGAGCAAGGGGGACGGGCAGTCCGGCGGGTGACGCGGGCAGCAGCAGGACAGGCGGGACGACGACGACGAGGGCGGCAACGAGGAGGAACAGGGCGCCACGCAGAGGCGTGACGAGGGGGGCCAAAAGCAGGAGGTGGACAGGCGGAAGAGGGGGAGGATGACGATGATGAGGGGGGGAGGAGGAGGAGGAGGAGGAGGAGGAGGAGGAGGAGGAGGAGGAGAGGAGGAGGAGGAGGAGGAGGAGGAGGAGGAGGAGGAGGCGGAGGCGGAGGAGGAGGACGACGACGACGACGATTAGGGGGGGAGGAGGAAGAGAAGGAAGCAGAGGAGGAGGAGGAGGAGGAGGAGGAGGAGGAGGAGGAGGAGGAGGAGGAGGAGGACAAGGAGGAGGAGGGCGAGGGGGCAGAGCTGCGTGCGCCCTGCCGCGCCGGGGAACCCTAGACTCGGAGGCACGCCCGCCCTCCCCCGCCGCGTCGCCCGGCAGTCACGCTGACGATCCGGCGGAACCGACGGGGGCCGCGACAGCCGCACGAGCGGGTGCATCGGTCGAGCAGTGGCGAAGCGTCCTGGCTTTCGTGCAGGCCCACCAAGGAATGTTCTGAGAACCTTCTGTGGTCTGCGCGAAGTATTCTTAGATCATGCCTGACCGAGACTGTCTTGTGTTGAAACATCGGGTGTATGTTCTAAGAGCGTCTTCTTGTTTTTTCGAGACTGTCTTGTGTTGGAACATGGTGTGTACGTCTAAGAAAAATTCGCTGTAGGCCTGTAGGAATGCCGGGACGGTCGGTCCCTGCTCAAATCAGGGGCAACGTTAGGTGGGGACGGGTTCTGAGGTGGACGCATTGACCCTCAATCGCCCGTCGATCGCACGTGGCCCCATCTTGCCCAGTCATGTGCGGCCTTCGCCACCGAGAGCCCTTCGCCGATCTGTCGGCGACGTGTCGTCGATTCCAGGTGGATGGGTCCCCCCACCTGAGCCGTTCCCCCCGAACGTTGCCCCTCAGAGGAGCGCCACAGGTCGTCCCTGCCGCCCTGATTTTGCAGGGAGTGTGGGGGGGGCCGCTGCAGCGAAGGGCGCGCGGCGCAGAAATGCGCCCGGCGGCGCGGCGGCTCGTCATCCTCATCATCACGGGGAACGCGATCCAGTCGGTTGTGGCGAAGTTGCGTCATCATGATCACCATCATCATCAGCATCGGCATCATCATCGTCACCATCATGGTCATCGTCGTCGTCGCAATTGTCGCCGTCGCCATACACCGAACACGAAGCCCGCCTGCCAGCAGGTGCTCCACGGAAGTTTCTTATCCTTTGGTGTCCCTTGGGGCCCACGGAAGCCCTGGTGCACCTCAGGAAGCCCAAAGCTCGTTATCGCAAGATGTTCTTATCGCGTTTGTCTATTGTAATTATCCGCCTCCCCGCCCCGTGCGAGATCGCGCGTCCCAGCTCCAGGGAGGGGGGGGGGGGGTCGTCTCGTGTAGCGGCTGCGGCAGGAGCGGGATCTCTGCGGAGGAGGGCCGCGCTTCCACAGGTCCAGGCGGGGTGGAGGCGCAACCGCAAGAGCAGACCTCGGAGAGACAAAGCAAAAACACGTCCTGGCGCTGACGGCTGCGCTCCGGAGCGCGCCCGGTCCGCTTGGTTGCCTCTTGCGGACGGTGCGCCTCCTGTAGCGGAAGGGTGCGAGTTGGACTTTAAGGCGGCCAGAAATCCAAACGAATGTTCAACATTTGCCAGCCTGGACCTCACACAGTGAACTCTTGCATCCGGTACGTGTGAACTACGAGCTTGCCCTCTATGTGATGCCCTGATGACTCGGTGCTCTGAAGGACGAGTCTAGGCCTCCCGCATGCGGTCCGAGGAGATGAGGCGTAGGATCGCGTCGCATCGCAGATGCATCGTCGATGCGGCTCGATGCGGAGCTCGATTTCCTCCACGCCGACGGCGCCGATGCATCGCCAGCGTCGCCGGCGCATCTCCAATGCATCGACGATGCATCGACGATGCATCGGCGATGCAGCGCGATCCTCCGACCCCATCCACTCGGACCCCATCTAGGAGGCCGCCCAACGAGGGGGAAGCTTCGATTGCCCGCCGATTCAGCCGCGCGCGGGCCGGTGGGGCCGCAGCCTCCGGCCCGGGCGCGCCCTCTCGCGGCGCGCCCGAGCCTGCGCGCACCGATGCCCGCGCGCATGGGCGGGCCCATCGGTCAGGAGGAGGCCGCCGCCGACGACGAGGACGGCGAGGAGGCGTCGTGCGCTACGTCCTCCGTGCCCTCGGGGGCCAACGTGTTCCTGAACGTGTACGACATCGTCCCAGCGGTCAACAAGTGCTCCCGGGCACTCTGCCGCTCCAGGTGGGGCATCTACCACACGGGGGTGGAGGTGCAGGGCCTCGAGTTCTCTTTCGGCGGGCACTCCGACAGCAGCACCGGGGTCTTCTGCGCGAAGCCCAGGAGCGCCCAGGGCTGCGTGTTCAGGCAGCAGCTGCCCATCGGCCACGTGGAGCTCGACGCTCTGGAGCTGCGGCAGACGATTGCCGAGATCTCCAAGGGCTGGCCCGGCAACGGGTACGACCCGTTCCAGAGGAATTGCAACCACTTCTCGGAGAGCCTCTGCAAGGAGCTTACTGGCCACAAGACGCCCTCCTACATAAACAGCTTCACGCAGTCGCGCTTCGTGCGAGGGGTCTTCTACAGGTGCCTGGTGCCGCTGGGCAAGTGCCTAGAGAAGTTCTCCTACGAGCAGGGCGGCATAACTTATAGCAACAACGAAGAGACTGCCACGGAGAGCACCAGCCTCGGCATTAGCGGGGCCAACGGCATCAACGAGGTCCTGGTGGCGGCGGCCACGATGCAGAAGGAGAAGGCCAACCGCTCCTTCAAGGCCGGAGCCTACCAGGAGGCCCGGGAGGCGTACGCCAAGGCCGCGGGCTATCTGGACTCCATGAGCCACAGGTCAGGGGCAACGACAGGGGGGATAGGGCCAGGGGGGAGAACGCATCGACCCCCAGTCGCCCATGGGTCGTCGATGCGGGTCTGATGGCCCCAGCCCCGCCCCGGAGAGCGCGCGGACTCGCGATCGCGAGCCTGTCGCCGACCTGCCCGCGACCTTGGCATCGCTCGGACGTGTGCATGCTTCCTTCGGTGAGGACCATCGGGGAGCATCCTGGATCATCCTGCGACAAAAAACCACGCACGACACCGAAAAAAGCACAGGGAATGGACGTCCGAGCGATGGCTAGCGACGTGCCGCCGAGTCGAGATCGGTGCTCCCTCCCCCGGGGTCGTGCGCCCCCGAGCTTGCCGCGCCCGCACAGGACCGCCCGGGAGGAGGGGGTCCGGGCGCAGGCCCAGACCGTGCGCTTGGCGCTGCTCCTGAACTTGGCGGCCGTGGGGCTCAAGGACCCGGGCTGGGAGTCGGGCTTGGTCCCTGCACAAGGGGGAGGGAAGATTCAAAAGTAGTCCAGAAGCAGTCTGGGGATCATGCTTGGATATATTTTTTGCATCTTCTTCTGACTTGTCATCCAAAGTCTGCCTGTAGGGGGACAGGCTTGAGTCGGGCCTGTCCCTCTGCAGGGGGAAGATTCGAAACTAGTCCAGAAGTAGTCTGGGGATCATGCTTGGACATTTTTGGAATATTCTTCTGACTTGTCATCCAAAGTCTGCCTGTAGGGGGACAGGCTTGAGTCGGGCCTGTCCCTCTACAGGGGGAAGATTCAAAACTAGTCCAGAAGCAGTCTGGGGATCATGTTTTTTTTGCTATTTTTTGCATATGTCTGATTTGTCATCCAAAATCTGCCTGTAGGGGGACAGGCTTGAGTCGGGCCTGTCCCTCTCCAGGGGGGACATTCAAAAATAATCCAAAAATAGTATGGGGACGATTTTTTGAGTATTCTTGGATCATTGTTGGATATTGTTTGGTGTGTTTTTCCCCATATCCTAAGATGGGGTTCTTGTTATTACTTGGACGCCTCCTGCTGCCTCTTCCTCCTCCTCTTTCCTCCTCCCCTCCTCATACTCAGACTTACTCATACTCAGACTTACTCATACTCAGACCTACTCATACTCAGACTTACTCACACTCAGACATACTCATACACAGACTTACTCATAAACAGACTTACTCACACCCAGACGTACTCATACACAGACTTACTCATACCAGACTTACTCATACACAGTATTACTCATACTCAGACTTACTCATACCCAGACGTACACATACACAGACTTTCTCAAACACAGACCTACTCATACCCAGACTTACTCATACACAGACTTACTCATACACAGACTTACTCATACTCAGGCATACTCATACTCAGACCTACTCATACTCAGACTTACTCAACACACATCAGATTTGGAGGATGTCTCAAGCGGGGCGCTGGTTTCAGCACCCCTAAGGGGAGCCGCCAGGGGTGGTTGCACGGGCTCGTTCGCGGCCATTTTGTGGGGATGTCTCAGGCGGTTTGCCTGTTTCTGGGCTCAACATCCTTCGCTTGGAGAGCAGATTGTGAGGATGTCTCAGGCGGGGCGCTGGTTTCAGCACCCCTAAGGGGAGCCGCCAGGGGTGGTTGCACGGGCTCGTTCGCGGCCATTTTGTGGGGATGTCTCAGGCGGTTTGCCTGTTTCTGGGCTCAACATCCTTCGCTTGGAGAGCAGATTGTGAGGATGTCTCAGGCGGGCGCTGGTTTCAGCACCCCTAAGGGGAGCCGCCAGGGGTGGTTGCACGGGCTCGTTCGCGGCCATTTTGTGGGGATGTCTCAGGCGGTTTGCTTGTTTCTGGGCCCAACATCCTTCGCTTTCGGAGCAGATTTGGAGGATGTCTCGAGCGAGGCGCTCATTTTCACCCCCCAGGTGGGCCAGATTTTGAGGATGTCTCGATCGGTTTGCTTGTTTTGGTGGCCAGGCTCGTGGGCGCAGATTCTTTCAGGATGCCACAGGAGGCTCCAACAGGCTCCAGGAGGCCCCAGGAGACCACATGAGGTCCCAGGAGGCATCAGGAGGCCACAGAAAGACTCAAGAGGCCACAGGATGTCCCAAGAGGCTCCAGGAGGCCCCAGGAAGCTCCAGAAGGCCTCAGGAAACCACATGAGGCCCCAGGAGGCAACAGGAAGCGCCAGGAGGCCTCGGAAGGCAACAGGAGGCCCCGAGAGGCCCCAGGAGCAGGAGGCCTCAGAAGGCAACAGGAGTGGCTCCAATCCCATGTGTTTTACGTATGCTCCTATCGATTGGGCCTCACCTGGAGCACGATTCTTTGATGTTCTACGTATGTTTCTATAGATGGTCCTTCTCCTGTGTACACAATCCTAAATGTTTTACTCATGTTCCTATGTATTGGACCTCTCCTGGGGCACGAGTCCTTGGTGTTTTACGCGTGTTCCTATAGATTACCCTTCTCCTGTGGCTCTAATCCGCAATGTTTTATGTACGTCTGTTGCTATAGATTGCGCCTCTCCTGGGGCACGAAACCTTCCTAGGAGGTCCCAGGAGGTCCCAAGAGGCTCCTGGAGACCCCAGGAAGCCCCAGTAGGTTTCAGGAGGCCCCAGGAGGCCCCAGGCTCATGCACAGAGACGCGCTCGTACTACTGAGGCTCATTCACACTCCAATTCATTCGCAGTCAGATTGATGTCCAGACCGTCACAACTGAAGCCCGTTAATATTCGAAAGCTCTTGCGCCTAGACATTCACGGCGGACAGGTCCATGCGAGTAGATGCACATATGGGGAGCTCCACGCAGTGAATAATTGATTTTTCGTCCAAAAGCTTCCTGTAGGGGGACAGGCCCGACCTAAATTCAGGCCTCCTACATGGGGTCGGAGTGGATGGGGTCGGAGGATCGCGCCGCACCGCCGATGCATCGGCGCTGCGGCTCGATGTTGAGCCCGATTTGCCTCACGTCGACGTCGCGGATGCGTCGCACGCGTCGGCGATGCATCGCCGGCGCATCGCCGATGCATCGGCGATGTATCGGCGATGCGGCGCGATCCTCCGACCCCATATACTCCGATCCCATCTAGGAGGCCTCTAAAGGAGGAGGACTGGCGGGCCGCGGTCCACAGCTGCGAACAGGCTCGGCGGCGAAGTCCAAACTCCACCCTTGCCAATCAGAGAGATTCGAGCAGAGGAGAGACTACATTATTGATTTATCCCAAAAATTGATGATCGTCCCGTTAGATCTACGAAAAGTGCGTCGAATGCCCGTTGATCTACAAACGATCGACGCATGTCTCGTAGATTCGACCAAAATCAATCCTGGGGTAAATCAATTCTGTAGTCGATCCCCTACGGTGGGGGCGTTCGTTAAGGATTGTGCCCAGGAGGCTGCAGACCCTGGAGGACTCCTTATTTGATGAGGGCCGCCATGGTATCCATGACCAATCCACGATTGGAGTTCCACTGGCGCCCAGACCCTAGATTCCTCATCCAATGGTTCCTCATATCATGCTCACACCGTACCCGAACGATTCAGGCCACTCGATAGACGGCGGGGGTAGGGTTCGGAATGCGTCGAACACGTGGCGAAGTCCGAACCCGATCCCCGCGTCCCATCGATTCAGGAGAATCGATGGTTGGTGGAGGTAGGGTTCGGATGTCGCCGCCTACAGGTGCTGGCGAAGGACCCCGACAGCCAGAAGGCGCTGTACAGGCTCGACGAAGAAACATCGCCACAAACCTACAAGCTTTCGGAGCTCCGCGCAGATATCTGGGATCGGCGCTGGACCCCCCTGGGCAGAGCCTCTGGCGCCGCCCCTGGTGCGCTCCGCGCGCCAGGGAGGGGGGTCCAGCCCAGATCCAAGAAATCCGCGCGGACCCGCGAAAATTTAGGTTTGCAGTGGAGACCCATGCCAAGAAGCACCCTGCTTGCCTCCAGGGTGCCCTGGGTTTCTTTAGTTTCGATGGTTTTGCCATGGAATCCATGGACGTCCTGGGATATCAGGGTTTCGGTTTCGTGTGGAAGGTTTCTCGTGGACTAGCCTCCGCTGTACAAGAAATCCGCGCGGGCCCGCGACCCCATAGGTCTATGCCGTTTTTGGGGCTCCTCCACAGGCGCGGTGTAGCCAGGGCCCAGCTCGGGATGCACGAGGAGGCCGTGGCGGACCTCAGGCGGGCGCTGCAGCTCACCGACCCCGCGGACGCGGGGACCGTGCGCGACGTGCGCCGCGAGATCGACAGAGTCCCGTCGGCACCGAATCATGGGAGCCTTGTGAGAACTGCGTGTTTTTGAAGCCGGATCCAGTTAAAACAACTGCCTGTTTTTGAAGCCGGATCCGAGAGACCTGCGTGTTTTTGAAGCCGGATCTGGCTTCAAAGACACGCAGTTCTCTGACTGCGTGTTTTTGCAAGCCGGATCTGGCTTCAAACACAAGCAGTTTTTCAAGCCAGATCTGGCTTCAAAAACACGCAGTTCTCTCGCAATTCCGTCTTCAGCGTCGACTAGCGTCGATTAGCGTTCGGGAGTCGACGAGATTAGGCGCCGATTGCGCGTCGGCTAGCGTCGATTAGCGTCGATTTAGCGTGGACTGGCGTCGATTTGGCGTCGACCCGCGTCGATTCGCAAGAGCCGACAAGATGGCACGGGAGGCTCCCATGATTTGCCACCGAAGGTCCGGGGCCTGGTCGAGGGCCAGAAGTCCAGGGAGCGCGAGATGGCAAAGAGGATGATGGGCACGGGCTTGTGACGCGTCCTTCCCCCGTCCCTCCTCCTCTCCCTCCTGCTTCCTGCGGCTGCGGCCCCCTCCTGTGTCGTTGTCTCCCTTGACCTGCCGTCGCTGCGCTGCGTAGGGCTAAAGACCTGTGAGACGCCGCCCGCTGCCGTGGCACACGCTGCGCTGAAACAGGCTGCGTCGAGCATGGCGGAGCGCAATCTCCTGACAGAGGAGGAGGTTGGCAGGGCCCGGCACCGCCGCCTCCATCACTGCAGGGGCAGAGTCGCATAGCGCAGTTTCAGCTGACACGGATGCGCCGGTTGTCCTTTACCGTTTTCCCCACCCAGTGAGCAGTGTTGCGCGCGCGTATGCGGGTCTCTTTCCTCCTGCCCCTCCTCCTCCACCTCTCCTTGGCGGCATGGTGTCCCCCCCGATCATGTTTCCCAATGTCTTTGCTTCTCGGCGTCGTCAGCTTCGGAGGCTAGGAGGCCCTGAACCTGCAAAGAGGCCGAAGTCCGAAATTGGGACCCCCTGTATAGGAGTCCCCACATGAAAGACCTTGCGGAGGACGAGGACGACGATTGGGAGAGCGATGAAGAGAAGGACGAGGACGAGGGCGAGCATTAGGGGGACGAGAACGGGGACGACGATAATGAGAAGGACGAAGATCAGGAGGAGGAGGACGAGGAGGAGGAGGAGGAGGACGACGACGACGAGAACGGCGACGATGACGACGACGAGGAAAAGGGCGAGGAGCAGTAGACGGAGGAGCAGGCGAAGGAGGAGGACTGGCGCCGCGGGCGCAGTGCTCGGCCAGAGGAGGAGGAGGAGGAGGAGAAGGAGGAGGCGGAGGAGGAGGAGGAGGAGGAGGACGAGGAGGAGGTCGCTGCATGCGGGGAAGGCCCCTCCCTGCGCCCCGGGGAGCGGGCCCGCGGGGACCCCCCGTTCGGCGGCGACGGGAGAGCGGCGCCCTGCCCCCGCGCGCTGGCGGGCGCCTGCGCTGGTCGCCCCGGCACCGGCAGGCGCCCGTCGGCCGCGGCGGGCCGGGCCCGCGGAAGGGGGTCAGCCACGCGCAGAGGGGCAGCCCTGCTTCTTAGAAGGCGCGGGCCTTATCTATAGATAGATGTAAGGCCAGCGCCTTCTAAGAAGCAGCCTGCTTCCAAGAATCCCTCCCCCCCTCGCCCCACCCCCTTGCGCGCGCCGCCAGGGGGGCCTCCCGCGCCCCCCCCCCTCGACGAGCGCGTTCTCCACGACTCGCAGAGTCACTGCTCGCACATGGCCTGGATCCCCCGCGGGGGATCTACGATATATAAATTTCGGGAGCGGAAAAGAGGGGGGTGATGACTAGGGGGGGGTGGATATCATGGCGGGGGGCATGATGTTTTCTCAGATTTCATGGCGCCTCTTCTTATTTCATTACGTCCCTGGCCCCCCCGCTGGGCCGCGCACATGCCGCCGGTCATGATTTGCACCCCCCCCTCTTGGACACCCCCCTCTCGGGCCGCTCCCGATTCTTAGAAGGCGCGGGCCTTATCTATAGATGTAAGGCCGGCGCCTTCTAAGAAGCAGCCTGCTTCTAAGAATCCCTCCCCCATCCCCTTGTGCGCGCCGCCAGGGGGGCCTCCCGCGCCCCCCCCCTCGACGAGCGCGTTCCACGACTCGCAAAGTCACTGCTCGCACATGGCCTGGATCCCCCGCGGGGGATCTACGATATATAAATTTCGGGAGCGGAAAAGAGGGGGGTGATGACTAGGGAGGGGTGGATTTCATGGCGCGGGCCATGATTTTTCCTCAGATTTCATGGCGCCTCTTCTTATTTCATTACGTCCCAGGCCCCCCCGCTGGGCCGCGCACATGCCGCCGGTCATGATTTGCACCCCCCCCTCGTGGACACCCCCCTCTTGGCCGCTCCCGAAAATTACAGCAGAGCAGACATGTGTGGTTTCGGACGTTTGCGAGTAGGCACTCTGCGAGCAGTGGAACGCGCTCGGCGACCCCTGGTCCCCTGCCGCAGGCCCGCGGCGGTCGCCGCCGGCGCCAGCATTCAGGCGGGCCTGTCCCGCTGCAGGAGGAGTGTTCCAAAATGGCCCAAAAATAGTCTGAGGACGACTTCTCGACTACTTTGGGCCATTTTGGTGCAGTTTGGGATTTTCTGGATTGTTCCCAACCCTCCTGTGTTGGGTTCTCGTCTTGAATAGAGCAGTGTGGTCTCCACCTCCTCCTCTCCTCCTCCTCTCCTCTCCTCCTTCTTTCTTGTTTCCTGTGTTCCCTTCTCCTCTTCTCTCGTGCCGTCTGCGATCTGCGCAACTGCCGCCACTTTCGTGGCTCCTGGGAGGCCCAGCGGAGGTGGGTCCCACGCGGACCACCTCGGGACCTCGCCGCCCCCTGGGGGGCTTGCGATCTGCGCAACTGTCGCCATTTTCGTCGGCTCTTGGGAGGCCCAGCGGAGGTACGTCATACGCGGACCACCTCGGGACCTCGCCGACCCCCTGGGGGGCTTACGATCACCTGGTTCTGAAATCACTGCTGGGTGCTCTTCTTGCGCACTGCGAGTCCTTCAGAATGCCAGTCAGCATTGAGTGGTCCTGAGTATAATCGCCACATCTATAGAAAGGGTTGGGTACGTCACAGGGTAATTCTAGGAGGTCACGCCCGACCTAAAACAAAGCCAAGATCATCTTGGCCGCGCCCGGCATCATCGAAGCATGATGTGCGGCGACGCAGTAGTCACGCACGTGATCCACATCGGAAAAATGCGGGGTGCTCAAGAAAAGATGACGGCCACCTGCCGTTTTAGCCGTGACGACAAGATACGTCACGAGCCCACCGGCGCACCGTCGGGACTTGCCTGCGGGCGCCGCAGAGACCCACCACATCGGCACGATCTTCGAGAGGCCCACGGCATTCGGCGGAGTGCCGTCTGGCCTACGCTGCTCGGAGACGCCAGCCTGCAGCTGTTATGGACTTCGCCACCTTTCTTGAACGAATGACTGGGGCACTGTCGACGCCAGCACCTTCGATCGCGTCAACGTTAGCACCAACACCGAGTTTCAGATGAACCTGAAGGCGGAGAAGTTCGCGCCCGCTGCGCATTGTCCGAGAGCCGACGTGCACTGCGGCTCCAGCATCCTAGGAGACCATGGGTGCAGTCGGGAGGCTTCGACTTGCTTCGTCATCTGGGACAAGCGTTGGGGGCCACCGCATGAAACCCACCCAGGCGCGACCGTGGCCTTCCCCGTCGACCCTCGCGGAGCCGGCCGCATCGGCTACAGATGTAGCCGCGGCGCGACGCCGCCAGCGACCACAGGCAGCCGCTGCGTGACGACGCCAGCGCCAACGCCTACGCCTGCGCCGACACCAATTCCCTCTCGGACCCCAGCGCCGGCGTTCACACAGACACCGCATCCCCCCGCGCCTACACCAGCGCCCACGCCTATGCCAGCTCCCACAGCGCGCACCACCCCCACCGCCAGGCAGAGCGCCAACCACCACACCAAGGGCAAGGCCAGACAGGTCCCAAAGCCAGGCCCTATCATGCACCAGGACACCAGCGCCGACACCATCGCCTACACACCAGCTCCCACGGCAGCCTCGAAACAGAGAACGATTGCCAGTTGCACGACCAGGGGAGGGATGTACAGGAGAGGAGGGATTCAGAACCTACACCTCCCGCCATGGCCGCTGCCCCTCTGACGGAGGGGGAGGGGAGCGGGCAGGAGGTTTGGATCCACCCTCATTTTCCAATGTTTCTGCGTAGCCGACCGTCGCCGACACGGATAGCATGGCCTGGAAAGAGCTGCGCGCCGAGCAGCAGGAGTGCGCCGCCGCCGACGAGTTCAGCCACGAGCCCGACCGCGAAGCGGACCACCACATCGGGCTTCCTCGCTCGTCGTGCGGACAAGTGTTATGCATCGGCGGCTAGGCTGAGGGTGACTGCGCTGGCGATCAATGGCATGAGCTGGGGTACCGTTGGGCTGAATTGTGCCACCATGCAGGAGGAGGAGGAGGAGGAGGAGGAGGAGGAGGAGGAGGAGGAGGAGGAGGGAGGAGGGAGGAGGGAGGAGGGAGGAGGGAGGAGGGACGCGGCCAAAGTGAAATAAGGACAGAGCGGGCGGCTCAGGGGTCAGAGCGCTCCCCGAGCGTGTGGGCGCGGACAAGTGCACCCACACGGACAGCTTCGACGACCTCAGCGGCACGATGGACCCGCCGACCACGGCGACGACGCCGCCCTCGGCTTCGCCCAGGCCGACTTCAAGGAAGCGGTGGAACCGATGATCGAGACCACGAGCCAAGAGGAGGAGGAGGAAGACGGCTACGAGGACCACCCGTGCGCTGGGTGCCTACAGGAGGACGGCTCCGATTCCTCCGACGGGAGCCCACCCACTGAGATTGGTACTCGCAACATGCTCGTCATCGCCGCTGACACAGCGGGCGCCTGAGACTTCGGCGGCCACCAATTCTCGGAGGCTCCCTCACGCATCGCCTCTTTCCTCAGAGGGATTCGCCTCGTCGTCGACGCAGTCAGGACCCAGGGCGCCGTCACCCTGGACGCCTTCGCGGAGGCGGTGTGCGCTGGCACCGCCGAGATCTACGCACTGGAGCCCATGGCCCGCGTCGCCGAGGTGGAAGCGGAGGAGGTGCAGGAATGCGCCCCTACACCTGGGCCATGGACAACCGGTTCCACTCCCCATCGAGCCGCCGAGGCATCCACGCCGCCAACTACGAGGAGGGCGCAGGAGGTGGCCGGAGAGGGCAGAGCGCTGCCCTCCGCGACCACTGCAACGGCGATACACGACACCGAGGAAGACGAGGATGACACGAGAGGTCACCGACGACTCTGGCAGCTCCAAAGGGAAGACCTGGATAAAACTGGAGGCGCGCCCGCTTGCAGTGAGGCGATACCCCAGAATGAAAGCCAACTATCCTGCCCAGCCTGCCATGCGCCGCCGCCTGCGATTAGGAGGCGGGGGTTCGGGAGGAGGTTGTTGGGGAGGATGTTCGCACTGGGTCCAGGGAGCTTGCGAGGGCCGCTGGCGTGTTTCTCCTACGGTGCCCGCTTTGGCTGCCGAGCCGACTACAAGAGGACACCGCGACCAGCAGACACCGTGACCAGCCTCGCCACATCAGCCGCCAGCGCGTGGTTCGCCCTCGCCTGACCGCCACCCCGCTCCTCCCCCACTGCTTCACGGCATGCGCAGCCCGCCAGCAGCAGAGGCCGATGTGGTACCCGCACCCCGGCCCCCGGCCCTCGTCCTCGCCCTTGCGTCCCCTCCCCCTTGGCTGTGCTTTCGGCTCCCTCCGCACCGCCTGTCCCCGAATGGCCACCCCTTGCTTCGCACGTGGCCTCGCCACTCGGGGGACCTCGTGCTGCTCGCCGAAGAGGGGGGGGGGATTAGGGTGGGGACACAACGCCGGGGGTGGATGGGCTCGCGATGAGCTCTGAACCTTGCTGCACCTGTGCTGGCGCGACCTGGCCATCGAATGGTCCAACCTGAGATTTACTTGGTTATTCTACTATGGTTACCGCAGGTTCGCAAGCTGCAGGGCCAACGCCAGCCCTGCCATAGCCACCGTGTCATGAAATTTGTCCGACGAACACCACGGCTGACGGCTCACACAGCCGAGCCACCCAGCGCGAACACCACCGTTGATGGTTCATTTGGCCTCTCCCCTCGGAGGAGGGGGAGGGAGAGGAGGAGGAGGAGGAGGAAGAGGAGGAGGAGGAGGAGGACGAGGACGAGGACGAGGACGAGGACGAGGACGAGAACGAGAGGAGGAGGGAGAGGAGGAGGAGGAGAGGAGGAGGAGGAGAAGGGAGGAGGAGGAGGAGGAGAGGAGGAGGGGGAGGGGGAGGAGGGAGAGAGGAGGAGGAGGAGGATGAGGAGGAGGAGAGGAGGAGGAAGGAGGAGGAGGAGGGAGGAGGAGCGGAGGAGGGGGAGGAGGAGGAGGAGGAGGAGGAGGGAGGAGGAGGAGGAGGAGAGGGAGGAGGAGGAGGAGGCGGAGGAGGAGGAGGAGGAGGAAGAGGAGGAGGAAGATGAGGAGGAGGAGGAGGAGGAGGAGACGGAGGAGGAGGAGGACGTCGACGACAGGACCCGACGAGAGGGCGAAGACGCCAAACGCTCGGCGGGGCGGCCGGCGCTTGCTTCGGCATCGCGCGCGCCGCCCTCCTGGCCCACCCGCTGACGAGGGCCTGCCAGTCCTCCCGCGAGCGGAGCGCAGAGCGGGCGCCCCTGAGTCGGTTGCGCGTGCGTGAGCATCGTTTGGCCGATCCCTATCCCCACTGGCATGGCCTGGGTCCCACTGGCCGATCTCCCCCCCCCCCCGGATCGGGATACAGGCTGCTCCCTTCGGGTTTCGAAGGGCATGTCCTCAACTGGGGTGGTTGGATGGTGGGGATCGGGACGGGGATGGGGTAAGGGATCGGTTAAGCGATACTGAGAGAGGGACCCTTCGGTGCGCTGACCTCTGGCGCGTGCCCCCAGGGGTCCCCCCGGCACCGGCCGGAGCGACTGGAGCCGACCTCCCTGCGGCCCCCCGAGAGCCGCGCAGCCCGGAGGCCTCTCCTGCCCGGGGCCACTCTCGTGTGCAGGCGGCCCCAGAGCTCTTGGGGCCGTCGTGGGCCTCACAGACCCGCAAGCGCGCCACATGCCACGAGGGCCACCACGTGGGCCACCGCGCCACTGCGGCACCTGTTCCGCAGAGGAGGCGCCGCCGTTTGGCCGCCTCGGCGCCGTCGTCATCGTCGTCGCCGTCATCGCCGTCGCCCTCGGCCTCACCGTCGCCGTCGCCGTCGTCGTCATCGTCGTGGTCGTCGCCGTCGCCGTCACCGCCGTCGCCGTCGCCATCGCCGTCGCCGTCGCCGTCGCCGTCGCCGTCGTCGCCGTCGTCGTCGTCGTCGTCGTCGCCACGTGCGCCACGGCGACCCGGGCAGACCGCGGCTCGAGGCGGCGGCGACTGCCGCGGCCTCCGCGAGGAGGAATTCGTCGGCCGCGCGGCGGGGCGGCCCGCGCGGCCCCGCGCCTTTGGGCGGCCCCCCCC